CCCAGGAAGGCGGGAGATCAGCCCCTCGCTGCACCGCGGGGGCAGCTGGCGTCTCCCGTTAATTAAATCACGGCCTGAATCCCCCAGCGCAGCGGGTCATTACGGAGAGCGGGCGTCCCCCAGAGAGCCCTGGTCTTTTTAGGGAACGGTGGCAAGCACTTTTCGGGAAAGACCCGGGAGCTGGTGCGGTGTCAGCACGGGGATGCCGCGGAGTGCGCACCCCACCGCTGCCCTGGGACACCCCGGCTGCTGTCCCCAGGGAGCCGGGACCCAGATCCGGGCAGGGACAGCGACAGGACCGCGTGCCCCGAGGAGGGTGGCCCAGGGAGCGCCTGTGTCCTGCCACGTTCTCCCCGGGTCAACCGGCCTCCCAGCCGTGCCGGTGTCACCCCCACCCCTGGCCCCCCACGAGCACACATCAGAGGGACAGTGGCAGATGCCGGACGAGTCTCCTGAGCCTGGCGGGAGGGACTGGGGAGGTCCCACGGGAGCATCACACCGAGGAAAGGAGGCATTTCTTCCCCGAAGAGGGGCTGCCCACCAGCCTGCAGCAGGCACTTAAGAGCTGCTAAGAGTCACCTCCAGCCCTTCAGGGAACAGGGGCAAGAACAAGAAACATCTGCATCCTCTTTTCAGACTCCAGCCAACACTCAACACGCTCAAGATGACTGGAAACAGATTTAGAGCAGTGGTTAGTGACATTTGCTGCTACTTGTAAGCAGCACGTGCCTGCTACTGCCAACCAAATGCTATTTCAAACAAGCCTGCCCATGCCAGTGCTCCCAAACCCTCCTTGCTGCAGCGGGTTTGGTCCCTCCATCCTGTGCCCCAGGAAGGACGGACCAAAGACCCAGGCTGTCCAGAAGAGCGGCTGCTTCTGCACAGGGCCGAGGGGCCTTGTCCCCCGAGAGCAGGAACCTAGAGAAGGAAGGTGTTGCTTTCTCTCTGCTCCAGTTACAGCCCCTTCTGACCACCTCTGGCGCAGTTTCAAGGTGAAATTGGGGCAGCTTGCAAAACCCCAGAAGGTAGATTACATCTCTGGTGTTCCTGATCTGAGCAGGAAGCAACAAGGTCCACATCAGCACTTTTAAGAGGATGTTGTACCATTCACCTTACACTTAATCGCCTAAAACAACTGGCAAGAGAATACTGGAGCTGTACCAGAGGCAGGCAGCGGCAGGGAGAGGCTCTGGGCTGCAGCAGTGGTGGGATGTTAAACTGCATCTCGGCAGCAGCCTGCATTCCCTTCCGCAGTGCAGTCAGTCTCGGCCTCCCACGCCACGAGCCGTAAAGCAGAGGGGGTTCCCCCATCCCCCCCACTAGAAAAGAGGGACCACCTCATCCAAGTGACAATATAATTTTGTTTATTTTCCTTTAACGCACTGCTGGTTAAAACTGCCAGACAGTAGATTTCAGAACATTCCCTCAACCAAACATCCTGGGGAAATTAAAAAATAAAACCGCTACCATGTACCAAAAATAAAATAACCCACCCCCACACCCGTCTTTTCCCCCAAACTAGTCCCTGCAAAGCCAATGCAATCAGAAATAGACATCTGTGCTTTTCACCCAGGGCCCAAGCTTGCTGCAAAACAAACTAAAAAATGTCACTGCAAGTTGTTATAACAAAGCAATGGACAGCAAAATAAAAAATCCTCCTTAAAAACCCTTTGCACTGGTGACAAATACAGATGGAGATCTCTCCCCACACTGTTTAGCCTTTACAGACAACTTAGACCTGCAGCTTCAAGTAGTTTGTGACACGTCCTTAATGCCAACAACACAGGTCACTTCCACACGTCCCAGCCTACGCAGCCGGGCACTGTGGAGCAGTGGGACCATTTGCCAATGCTAAAAGCTGCCACGCCAATGGGACCCAAACATCACTGTCACCTGCCCAGTATCTCGCAGTCCTGGCTGCTGCCTCCTGGCACGAAGCACAAATCCTGCCTCTGCAGGATCCTCACGTTCTCTGGGGCTGCTTTACCAACCTGGCTGCTTCTTGAGTGGGAAAGCCCTGAACACACGAAGTCCCTGTAGAAACCATGAAAAATTCAAGCCCCTACTTGCCAGCAAGTTTCCAGATAGTGCTTCACTCCAGCGCCCTAGCTCAGGAACTGTTATAGTGTGACAGAACAGCCACGGTAGCACAGGCAAGCACATCACCACTACGTGTGGCTGGGAACAACTCCAGGGCAGAGATCCCGCGTTTCCTAGATTCACACTGTCCCCAGTTAAACTGGTTCAAGCTGTACTTTGTCCCTTGCCTTGAAATCTCCATCACACAAACTCTTCAGCAGAGACCTTTGATGTTTGCAAAAGATTATTCACATTTTCTAATCAGCCAGCACTGTTTCTAAAAGGGAGGAAAGCATTTCTGTTTTGCTGATTATTTTTTCCTTTTTTTTTTTTTTTAAATAAAGCACTTTTTGGGAAAAAAAATCAAAACCTATCAATAACCTGCAGTAGCGTCCCACTGATCAGCCTGGGGACAGCGCCGCCACATCCCTCCCCCTCCCACATCTTCCCCCCAATCTCCAAAAATAGTATTTAATATACAGCAATAAACTCTGAGCAAGCCAGAGTCCCGGAAGACATGGACCTGCTTTCACCTCTCCCGTCCAGCCCAGCACCATTTCAATGCGGTTGCTACTGTACTTCTGGGACAAATCTGTTCAGATCCAAGGTGAAACGCACATGCCCCAGCCCCGCTGGGCAGCGCGCGAAGCAGGGGTGCAGCACAAGAGGCCTATTCATGTAACCACATCTCTGAGCCTTCACAGCTCCAGCCCGGTGTTGTGTTTGTGCCGTTGAGAATACTTGTCTTGAGCCTATTTGGGACTAGCCAGTGAAGACAGACTGGTGGAACCAGGCTGATGTTAAAAAAAAGCATCCTTCAATTGTATTAGACTTTGGCATTTGTTGTGGAGAGGCAGAAGCGCCAGTAGGTAAATTAGCTCAGTGCTGGCCCAGCTCCCATTTCCCTTGGATTCTCAGCAAGGATATTTCCCTCCCCGTCACATAAGTGCAAGAAGCAGACGGATCTCTCCCACTTTTGAGCACCAAACAGAGCCTGAAACACTTGGTACTTCGCAGCTGCTCAGAATCTGTCTCACATCAAGGGCTGAAGCTGCTCTGCTGGTCCTTTCCCTCCTGCTGCTGTTTTCCATCAGACAGGCCAGTTCAGCCCAGACTTCCCATACCAAGACATTTCCCTGGCTGTTGCAATCCCATTTTGACTTAAAGGAGAGCCAAGGGACAAAGCACGGGTCTCTGCTCCCTGTTCAGACCCAAACAGTGCAGGGCAAGCCCTTGGCGAATGAGTTTGGGGGGCAGGACCCCCAAAGCCACACTCTGCACCCAGAAGCTGTAAGCACCATACGACTACCAAGACCCAGCTGTGACTCACTCGGCTCTGAACTGCACAGACACGCAGGCACCAGACTGTCTGGCAGTTCTCCATCCTGCCTTCGGGAGATTTCTGGGGGAGACCAGACCTGAAGGAGCTCTTCCAGTTCTTCTATCCCCTGCTAGGCTTTTTTCCCATTGACCTCAAGGGCTGGAACCAAAGATACTCATTCGCAGTTCTCTGCTTCAGCTGTGACCTCCGGAGCTGGCATCCAGGGACAGTGAGACAGTCCCCAGCTGATCACAAGGGCAGGGAATGCCTGTCCCTTGGGGAAAAAGAAAAACAACTCAGAAGCTCCTTAAAAAAAAAGAAGCTTCTTCAAATAGACTTTTATTCAAAGCCTGAGACAAAGGCACCAAAAAGAGACAGGATTTCATTTGGCTTTCTGCTCACTGCCACCTGGGATACTCAAAAGGGTCAGAGCTGTTGTTTTAGTCACACACACAGAAGGGGAAAATGGTCTGGCTTAAAGGTATGAAAGGAGGGGCTGACGAGGGGGTAATTAAAATAGGCTTTGGAACCACTACCCTGAGGCTGGATCCAGGCCCAAAACATGATCAATGGTGTCACCTCCCCTTTATTAAGTGGAAGCTTTATTAAAATTGCCTTATCTGCCCCTCTCTACCCAACTGCTCCATGAATCAAGCCGGGGTCTGTTCTGACCCAGCTCCCCACGCTGCTGCACAGGGACACACACTTCATCTGCCTGCTGCTGGCTGGAGGCAAAAAAGCACAAACCGGCTTGTCTCTAGCCGGTCTCAATTAAACAATGTCTCGGATATTCCCTCAAACACCCATACTGGAAAGCTACAGCCAACCCAAACTTTTTCTTTCCCTGGTCAGGACCAGGTACCTCATTATACCCATCTGGCTGGCTCGCAGGTGCCAGACAGAGATGACAAGGGGAACCAGCCTGAGTACGGCATTCACAGCAAGGTGCTAACTGCTTACCCTCTACCATCCTCCTGTGTTCCCACACGCTTTGTTTGAAGGCTTCTTCCCAAGCAAACCTGTCAGGAGGGGATGGACCAACAAGGAAAACTGCTCATAGCACCATAACGGGGTCAGGAACCCTCCAACCACCCAGACAGTAGCTTTGTAGTGACAAAAATTGATAAAACCAGGAGCCAAAACAACTAAATTGAAACCATGAAGGATGAACTATTCCTCCTCCCTATTCTTATTCAAATAAGACAAATTAATTTGCACTGAGCAACTGGAACACAACAGATCAAACCCTGCACAGCCTTGCCTTAGGGCAGCTGATGGCACCAAATGGGTGCCCTGGCTGCCAGGAGAGGCAGAGATAAACTATTCTAGAAGACTTGTCTCCAACTTTTGCACACCTAAATGCACTCCCCTTTTCTCATGCTAGGCAAGGTGCAGAGATTACTGGGTGAGCCACAAGAAGCTGAGTGATTCCTTGCTTCAAGGATGCTCAAATAAAATGCAACCTAAAAGGCCTGGAGGAGAACAGCTCCTTACAGAGAAGCTTGCTTTCAAGCCCAGGTTCTTTGCTTAACAAATCAGCGCAGTTCATGCTTCTCAAAACTGATAAAGATCTAAGTGTCTCTGTGCTCCAGTTAGAGCAATCCCCAAAATGCTGGAGAATCTCTGCAGACACCGTCATCAAACAAAACAGAGCTCATTTTATGAGAGTTTATAAGTACTAGGATTTTAACAGCAGCTAGAAGACGAAGCAGACAACTTCAAGCTTACCACCTTTTCATCCTAAGGTTTGTTCTTAAGATCTGCTCTCCCTAAAGCCTGTCTTCTCCTTACGGTGTGGCAGGGACCCTCTTGCTTCTCCCAAACTGGCTGTTACCACTTGTGCAACGGGAGAGAAGGTAATTAAGGTCCTCCTGCTTGCTTTTTAGCTCACAGCCACAGAATTAGGGTGAGGCCTATAGCAGTGATGTATGCGATCAGAAAGGCAAGGTTCAGTGCCACTGCTGTGCAGAGCAGTGCTTTGACACCTCCCCCAGCTCCCCATTCTGGAGCCCGTGAGCTGGCAGCTCATATCACAGCTTGAGGGTTAAGAGGAAGAGAAGGCTTCAGCCGCTTGCGCCCAGCAGAGAAGAAAGG